CACACACACACACACACAGAGGCACCTGCAGTACACCTGCATTGCCAACAACATTGAAGAAGAACTCAACTTAGCATTCAAAGGCACAGATGCCTTCCCAGGGAACCAGTCATTCACAAACCATACTCAAATCATCAGGCACAATGCTAAGGTATGCTATCAGTTTATTACTTTAAACTGACTTTGATGTGAAGGGGAAGCTGGCTGTCACTGGCTTGACTGGAGGTGAAATGGACAGGTTGATCCAGGTCACAGAGCTGGTGTTGATGAGGTTGGTGCTGAATCCTGTTGAATGCAAGTGCTGGCACCTCCATGTCAACATTACAGTGTGGAGAAGGAGGATGGTAGATCTGTATGGCAAGATAGAAGACCAACGTCATACAGGAGGCTCAAGAAAGAAGGGGAAGAAAGCAAGAAAGAAGAAGAAGAAGAAAAGAATGATGAACAGTCAAGTGGATGGCACAAATGACGCAGATGATGCAAACAAGGTGGATGGCGCAAACAAGGTGGATGATGTGAATGAGGTGGACAACATGAATGAGGCAGACAATGTGAATGAGGCAGATGGTGTGAATGAGGCAGACAACATGAACAAGGCAGACAGTGTGAATGAGGTGGATGATATGAATGAGGCAGACAACATGAATTGCACAGTGGGCATATGCCAAACAGTATTGCTTGACCTGCCATGGGCCTTGTCTGTGCAGCTCAGAGAGGTCAGCACCATCACAACTGGCACCACCATCACCTGCACACAGTGCAGGAGCAACTTGTCAAAACTTGAAGTTTTGCCTTTGTGGGTACCTCATCCCACCCACCTGCCCCATCTGCAACTAAAGTGCACATCACCACGCTCACCCACAAAAACACCTTTACCAGCCTCCTCCAATGACCTAACATCACCACAGCACTTGGTATGGGCAGCGCTGATGACCAAGGGCAGACAAAGGCAGACCTCTCAGTTCCTCAACATGCTTGACATGCCACCCATCTCACAGCACACCTGGAAGAAAGCTGAGGGTACCATCACACCTCACCCACTCACCTGATGCAATACACCTTCTCTTATCCAAGTGACTACCTGGCGTGTGACAAATGCAACACACACAATTGCTTCATGCACAGCTTGACTTGGTCAGGCAGCAGAGTCATTCTTGCAAACAATCACAGCATGTGTGGCCTAAATGGCTACAAGGAGATTTGTATGCCTTGCATGTGTGCTTCAAATGCTCCTTACCAGCAGTGCTCCTTCTGGGTGTGCTAAATACCCTGAGTTTGTTGTGATGTGTCAGGGTTTGGTGTGCTTGATGGTGGGTGGGCTGAAAAGAGACAATCAGGCAGCTGCGTGCTCATCATGAAGGATCTGATGACTGG